CTATATATATTTATATAAACTAAAGTGTGTATGCATTTTGTAATTGGGCTTATCAACTTTCACCTGAGTTTTCGGCATGCGCTGCGTAATTAATTATTTGCGCCACTAAGTCGAGCCATTTCCATGCCAGACGCATATATAGGAAGGACCGCAGGATGGCAGCCACCGTCAGAGCCACCGCCAACGCCAGCAACGTCGCTTGCTTTTTGCATAATTCAACCACTGGCAGGCGGGTCACGTAGACAACGCAAACGGCGTGATTAGGGTTTTCGGCTCAGCCGAAGCGTTCAGCGGCCAAAGATCCTGTCCAGGACCCGGGCTCAGACTAACCACAACATGTGTGCATGTATAAGTGTATATATACGTGTGCCTACGTGGTCGTTTGTTTGTGTGTGTGTGTGACTGTTGTTGTTTATGCCGCTGGCATCATTAATACCCAAATCAAAGTTTGTTTGCCTCTAACACAGTTGTGTAAAACATTTCAGTTTAAATGCTGAGCCGAAGCAAATGTCAAGAGCCCTTTTAATTATCCATTTTTATTGGCATTTGTCGGAGATTCTTTTAATTTGCCATTTAGTTAAGCTCAAGCTAATTCAATTATACATTTCAATCAGAAATTCAGTATGATATGCTTTAGAAATACGAAAAATACTGCATAAAATAATGAATAAGAATTCAGCCCAAAGTAAATATTTCAAAGTAATAATTAATGTCAAAGCTTGTATGAATAAAACATAAAAATAAAATAAATGGGACTCATGCAATTTAAATTTAAATAAATAATTATTTATATTCTTTTTAAAATCATAAATATCTGTCTCTCAGGCAATTCCCATATAAATAAATAATTATTTATTTAAAATATAATTTATAGATCTTTAAAAATACTTCAAGCATTCATAAAAAATAAAATTAAAATTGAATAATAACTGTCTCTCTCTTTCCTTCCTTCTCCCTCTATCTCTCCTTCTCTTTACTATACCGAGTGTATGTTTTATGCATTGCGAGTTGATAAGCAATTGTGCAAAAATCAACGAAAATAAACCGCGAAATGTTGGTAAAAAAAAGACGAGCAAAAATGCACATTAATTAGCTTGAATGCCGCAAATATTAATTGCGTTTATTTGCGAGCGTGTCGAAACGTGTGTATGTTAAATAGCTGCGGACTCAAACTCAAATTTGAGTCCGTTTTGCTGACTAAGGCTTCATTAGTCGAAACTTCTTAATTGTTTCATTAATGCAATGCAATCCGTTTGCTTGGCACTTAATTTAATTTTATTTGCTGTCACCGCTGCTGCCATCCCGGCTCCTGCTCCTGCTCCCGCTCCTGCTGTTGCTGCTGGTGCTCCAATTCTTGCTGTAGTTTTTAAATAATTGTGCTCAATTATTTCACCCAATTTAACATTTCCCCGACTCTCGCTCTATGTGTGAGTGGGGATTTCGTGCTTACTGTATACATTTAAATGACGTCATTTATATTCCGGCGGGATAAGCACTTGATGTAAAATTACTGGCGACGAGCGTTTGCCGGAATGAAAAGAAAAAAAAAATTACGAAAACAAAAAGAATATTCAATTAAACCCGTTTCTTCGCCGAGAACACCGTTGACAGCGCTTATTAATCTGACGTCATTTCTTTTGGCCCATACCCCGTCTGCAGCTCACAGCCCCCGCCCGCCCCCTCCATGCAGTTTTTTCGTTGTGAAATTTAATTAATGTAATTGTTATTACCACAAGGCTTTCATGTTTGCTCTCGCTGTCCACTCGCAGGCCTAATAAAAATGTATACCTGAGCCTGATGCGGGCTGCGAGTGAGGTTGGGCAGAGTGAGAGAGAGGGGAAGAGAGAGAGCGAACCGCCATAGAAATGGCAATTCATTATTTGCATGAAACCCAACCTCAAGCGCCACTCAAACAGCGGCCCGAGCACTCCAGTCCCGTTAGACTTTTGACCATATTTCTGCATTTATGCGCATGAAACGCGCTGCTTAGCTTTATTTTGTGCATCGCCCTCTGCTTAGATAGGGTATACTAAGGGGTACTTTACTTAGTATAAACCAGGTTAAATTAATGCTAGAAAATCCTAGAATTTAATTGGATTGCTTAGTCTAAAATTGATACAGTAATAATGTTATCTCTACTATAATCTGAGTAAAAATGGAAATGAAGTGCATTCGCTAGTCAAAGTTATCTGCTCTCAATTTCCCTATTTCGTTCATTTTTTTCTTCTTTTTTTTTGGATTTGATGCCATACACCATTTATATGAATATATATACATATATACAGAGAGCATACACTATATAGTTTTGCGCTTGGCAGAACGCGAAATTTGTTTTGGCCAACCAAAAAAGCCAACATCGTCAAATTTAAATGAATGACTGCAGTGGAAATGCAACTGCCAGTCAGTCAGAAAGAGTTGAAGGTTTGCACACTTCTCATTTTTTTCTGTCGGCGCTACTCGAAAATAATAAAAAGCCAAAAAGCACATAGAAAAAACTGGGAAAAAAGCGTTGCCTACTTTTCAGCTGAAGTGCTGCGGTTGGCTCTGCGGCTCTTTTGCATTCGCAAATGGCTGGAGTCATTTATTTGAAACAAATCATTTGCCATACCAGCGAGGCAGCTGCCTAGACACTTAAGCATCGGATCGCAAAAAGGCTGACAAGTTAAAGCGGAGCTGGATCATTAAAGCCAAGGCCCTCGCCCAGGCCCGCGCCAACTTTGGTGGGCCGGCAGGCCAATTTTTCAAAAGCACACGAAGAAGAACTTTGACTGACGCTTGTCGCTTGCCATTCCAAGATAAACTTCGCTCTGGTTCGAAACTTATTGAGGCGCAAACACTTGGACGGGGTCCCCCAACAACTGTCTGTCGCTATCTATACCATGTACAGACACAGAGCGAAATAAGCTGTATTATGGTATATATAAAGTGTCTAAAATCTGTAGATGTAGAGCAGTTGAGTGAACAACAAGATATTATTTTGTATTTTTGTTTAAACATGCTAAGTAAAAAGCTTTTAAGAAATAATATCTATTATTTCAGCTGTACAAGAAAAAGTTATAGGTAATTTTTAATAATATAAGTTTTACTATAAACAATTTATAGGAAATATAAATTGAATTAATTCTATCTAGTTTCTATATATATTTTTAATGACCTTTTAAATTGAGCTGAGAGTTTAGTTATTATCTTAAACAAAAAGTGGGTTGTTTCTTTTCTCTTTGAGTTCAAAATAAGATGTCTGCCAAAATTTTTATTTTGTATTGTCCAAAACTTATTCAGAATTGAATATGCTTGTTGAAAGATTTTTTTAAATTTTTAAATCTCACACTGTTTTTCTGAAGCAGCAAAAAAACGAGACTTTACTAAATATTTTAGCTTATAAATGATCTATAATATTTTGTCAGATAATTATTAACTTTTTTAAAATGTATTAAGTTTTAAAATAAATGAAATCTTTTTTATTTTGTATTATTTTA